GTACCCCACCCCTGCCCTGCGCGGAAAGCGGCAATCTGTGCAGTGGTTTCCTGCTTAATTTTGAGGGTTGTATGGCGATGGTGATGGTGGCAGCTACTTTTCATGGTACTGATGATGAGAATGACGACGACAATGATGATGTTGAGCATGATGTCAAATATGATCTTATTGTCGACTCGCGTCGCCTTCTAGAGCAGCATAACATCATGAGCAATACCACCGGTGCCACAGCAAGCAGGAAGATACGGAGTAACACATAAGAACTTCAAGAACGGCGGATTCGGGCCGCACGGACATAGTAGATGCAATTGTAGACATGAATGGTGGTGGAGAAGATTGGAACAAGTACTTCTAAAATTCCACGTAAGAGTCGTTGAGTCACTAATCGTGACAACAGATCCTTGTGTTACACGTCTTGTGTATTCCAATTCAGGCCAACCAAAGCCTCAGCTAAGGGGGGTGCAGAGCCCACCACAACACAGTGGCGGGGTGGGATGCAGGGGGAAGAGGGCAGGTTGAGGACACCAGGCGGTGAATGTGCCCCCCCCCCCCTCCTCCCCCCCATGGTATAGGTCTCAAATACAAGGGCCTGGAGCCTTAAGTTCAACAAGACAAGAGCGCTGGGCCCACAGGAAGCCCCGTAAGAGAAGGTCCGCACAGGGTTTATGAGGGCGAGTACAAGGTTTCTTCCGCTTCTCATGGGGTTTACAAGGGGGTTTAGAGAGTCAATATAGGGTTCTTTGAGGGCTGCAATAGGGTTTACCTGGGCTTTCCAGATTGACACAAGCTTTGTTCCAGTGCGCGCTCGAAGGCCTGGGACAGCGGGTTCAACTCAAGGTATTCGGGTTCGGAGGGGTTCAAAGCAAGGTTTCGTATGATTGGTACTACCTTAAGAGCGTCATAGTAGTGTAAGAGGGTTAGAGGCAATACCTAGTATGATTATTCGTGCTCAAAGGGGTTCTAAGCAGCATCTCGACTGATTAGTATTACTTTGAGACGGTTGTAGGCAGTACTTATTGATTACTTGTGCTCAGAGGGGTTCTAAGCAAAAAATCGCATGATCAGTTGCATGGCAGAACTGTTCCACGGGGGGGTTCTCCTTCCTCATCTGGACCCCACACACACACAGATGGAGAATCACAGAGCCGCGGAAGCGGGCTGTCCCTTCCAATGCGGGGAGAGGAAAAAAAACATGATCAGTGTATACTTGTAGATGACATGAATGAGAATGCAGAAGAACCACAGACAGGGCCGAGGGGACGGGAAGGGGGGGAGAGGGGGGAGGGGGGAGGGCTATTCCTATTTGGTTGTCCTGGTTGTGCTAAATACCATTGCTACTGCTGTGCCTCATCGACTGCTGGATCAGCTGTCATAACGAAAATTGTGACTACAGCATGCCCAACGGATGGCGCTATCCCTCCTTGCAGATACACCGCTGGATCTTGGTAAGTGTTGCTTTCGGAGAGGGATGAGGAGGGTTGTTGTGGGAGGTACAAATTTATCCAGCCCTTTTGGAGTTTCGAACCTGCGATATTTGAAACCTATCAAGCAGGCACCTCTCGAACTTTCCCGTTACTTTCGACATGAAGGTGCCCTGCGCTTCGTAAGTTTGAGAACTATGAAAGCCTATACAACAATAGTCGAGTCAAGCTTTTGTATGCGATATGCGCCGAAGCTACAATCCCCAAAAGATTCCAACTGCTACCTGAATAAAATCCTCCTAAACGTGCCCGCACGCCTACCAGTAGCCGAGACCCGCTTGCCAGAGTCATGAAAATGCTCCCTTATCGAAGCCTGGGGTCCTTGCTCACGCAGACTTTGGAGCTCCGCAGCGAAGTGAGCTTCCTCGTCCTTTTGCCGCTGAACCTCAGACTGGACACACGGGGGACCCTGCCCTGAACTCCACGCTGTTACACCTGCCTCGTCGTGAACGGCACGCTGTATCTGTTCCTTTTCTGCAACGTATGCCTCGATCATGGCCTCCAAATCTTTGTCCGCCTTCGGGCTTACGACATGTCTCTCGTCTTGTCCGGCTTGTAGATGTTTACACTGACCCGAGCCTGTGCTGTGGCCTTCTCCCTATTCAGCCGATAAGCCTCCGGATCCAGCAATGCGGCCGTGGTTCCGATAGAACCAGTCCTTCGCCGAGCAGCACTGGCACATCACTTTCTGAACTGCACCGGGCCCGAGCGGAGCTCGGCACCGGGCCCAGATGGCTGGTGCAAGGCACTGAGTCGCCAGGGTGCCGCAGGGCCCTTCGCCACAAAGGCTTCGACCTCTCTAGCCTCACAAAAGGCCAGACCAGGCCCTTCATCGGTGATGGCAGAGCAGACCCAGCCTTCTGATACCTCGGCCAGGCAACGCTCAGAGATTTCAGGGTGTGTAGGACAGATGCATGTAAAACATGTTTAGATGCAGGCACTACAAGATGTCTTCAACATCTACGACATTTGGGACCCCCGCGCAGTTCGCGGAATGTTCTTCACTGACTCACCGTCACCTTCGCCTTTGTCTTCCACGCTGGCGAGCCTTGCTCCAACGGGAACAAGACAGAAGAAGCAAAAGATGCACTTAGCATCCTCGCACAGTAAACCCATGCAGCACATGGAATTGTCTTTAACACGTTCTCGATGTCAATCCCTGCATGCAACTCTGCAGAAACAACTGCCGAGACTGTTGGCAATGCGAGCACAGAGTCGCAGAGCGCTAGCAGCTAGCTCCGCCGACAGTTGTTTGAGATTGGTGTTAGGCCAAGGCCGCGGCGCCCGGCAGGCACGAAACACCTCGGCTTCTGCCTCGTCTTTCATTTCTTCGAGACGCTGACCCTCCATGACGGCCTGGAAGGCTCCCGCAGCTGAAATATGTTGGACCAGCTTGAGCCACCTTGTGCCACACACAACTAAGCTGTGGATTTGCCTCCTTCAACGCATTCTTTGCCACGTTCAGCTCTGCAGAGAGGAGCTTGTCCTTCCACAAACGGGCAAAGATAAACCCCGCCTGCTGCAAGCCTTTTTGCAAGCGAAGTGTCACATTTGCAATACACTTCCCTCACTTGCCTCTGAAAGGAGTGATCCTTTAGCGATCTGCGCCTGCCTTGATCGGAGTGCCAAGGCCTGTGGCAGGCTCAAACAATCAGGGCAAAGTTTATTTGCTGTGTAGCATTCAATGGCAGTTTTTGCAGAATTTGAATGCCTGTTGCAGCGCTGCAAGACGGCCAGACCTCGCGGAGTGAGGCTTTGCACACATCTAAAGGCTGAAAAGTGTGCGAGGTGCGAAGCTGCTGGGCCTCGGCACTGCAGAATGCTCAGGCGCTTCCTACGAGATGTACTGAAACCGGCAGGCAGTTGGGTGCAGGTGAGCGCTGGCTACAGTCCCAGGCCATCCTGCAGAGATGTCTCATCAACGTCAGGATTTTCTCGGATCCTTCGTCGACCGGAACACCAAGCAGGGGCATCGGTATGATGAGCTTCCTACTGCACCACGTGAGCAACGACAACTGCCACTCTCGACCAAAGTCCAATCAATGTGCTGAGCAAAAAGTCAAAAAATCTAGTAGTTGTGTGTGCATAGCAGCATGCTCCAGCTGTTGCACGTGACAAAGCAGTTCTAGAGTTGAGTTGTCACGAGTGCAGCCAGGGTTCCTGGGCATTCGACGGCTGGTTTCGGCGATGCTTCTCCGCAACATCGATATCTCTGGTTGCTCTGCCTCGCCTCTGTAGGGTCCACGGCCACGGTTGCTCAAGGATTCGAAGCCCGCCGCCCCCGAGGGCTCAGCACTTCTCCTCTGCACACCTGCACTCTTCGAGTGCCTCCGTACAGAATCCGGAACACAACCACAGTCTGCACGAAGGCTAGGAACCTGGGCGTGCAACTTCAGAAGGACCTTCCATATGCACGAATGCCACTAGTGACAAGCTAGCTAAGAAGTGTTCCACAACAAGGCGGTGCGTCATGAAATCTCTCTGCTATGGAATGACAAATTGATCAATAATGTAGCGTTGACTTACCCTCGCTTGGAGTCTGCCTGCAACCGGTCGTTGACTGTGCCGGAGGTTGCCATCTTCATCGACAGGCAACGCATACAGGCATCGCAAGTTCTGTACGGAGTCGTCATGCCCACCTCAAGGTCTTCCTGCAGCGTCCGCTTAACCGCGTGTAGACGTTCTAGATCATCCACGACAACCTGGGCAAGGCACCCAACTCGGGCTTGCACCTACTGCGGCACGGCCAGGGGATGCCTCAATTACTGCCTGACCCTCCGCCCCTCTTAGCCCGCCCCTGCTGGCCTCCAATTTAGGTTCCCGACATCTGAGGTAATCGTGCAAAGGACCCGTTGGGCTCGTGCCAGGTGCTCCAGCGCCTGTCCTCAGGACGTGGGACTGCTGCCCATGCGTGCACTGCTTTTTTGGTAACTTTGCTAGAGCCTCCGGAAGAGCAGAATGACCGTAGGCTGTTTCCCTGCCGAGGCCATGGCGAAGCTCTTCACTGTGACAGAAGGCCTCGACGAGCGTTGCACTCTCCAACTTTAGGCGACAGCCCCGTTGCAAACGTCCCCATTTTCCCGTTCCGGTGTCCCGGCCGGTGTCCCGGTTGCCGGTCCCGGTCTGTGTTCTGGTCTGTTATTTGTCCCGGCTGTACCAGTATTCGCGACTTAGCGACTGAGTAGTTTGACAAAATCGCAACACAAGTCCAAACTTAGTGCAAGTATGCTGAGGAATTCAATGGCACAGAGCCCCAGAATAATCCTAAAAGCGACCCTCTTGCAGATATTATTTGCGCTCCACAGCGACACTAACCGGTCAGCTCAAACTGCAGAAATCAACACACTTATAGGAGCGAGACACGACATTCGAGGCCCTACATTCTGGAAACATACTTGAGAAGGCCGGACGGGTTGGTGCAGGGATGTGCAGAGCATTGCCAGCGAAGGACAAGGTTTAGAATTTTGGCATCGATAGTCGTCACCGTACATGCACATGCTGCTGCTGCTGCTGCTGCTGCTTGCCTGGGTGGAAGTTCAAAAGGACAAGCAAACTGCAGCCGGGGGAAGTAACAACAGTACCACTCGTAACGGTAGTGAGACAGCAGAAGAGGGTGCCAACAGTAGCGGAAACGACAGCAACAGCAGCACCAGTGACAAGTGACAGTAGCAGTAGCGGTAGCAACTGTGGTAACTGTGCGTAACAGCATTGGGAGTTGGTGAAATCAATAAGCTTCAATCTGTTACCTGCCCCGCCCCCTGCACAATGCCTCCCTGGGACTTATCTTTGGGGGGTCCTGACCACTCCACCTGAAAATGTTAATTTCAACATTGAGGATTGAGGATAGGGCTCCATGCCTTTGAAACCACTGACATGTCTTAAACCGAAACTCCCGCTGAGTCCTCACAGAACTTGCTTTCGTGACTTCCCAGCTTGCGAGCGAGAGATGTGTACCCCACACGAATCGCGTGCAGACACGGCATCTCCAAGGGGGCTTAAACACCACGCTAATGCGGAGTATGTTTGAAGAATGAAGTGATTGACTAAGACTTCGCTCGGGGAGAATGCTTCCTCAATGTTTGAGTGGTTGCTGGCTTGGCCACACCATTTTCGTGCTCACGCGAGTGCTGCACAAGCGAGCGTTCTTCACGCAGCGAAGCATGTGCTTCAAACGAGGCATTGGATTTTCCATCGACGCAAGCTTTTGCGTGGGCTTCCTCCCGGGAGCTCCCTCTGCCCAGAACGTGCGCCCAGGCGACGAACCCTCGAAACCCGTGGAACTCATACCAGTGGCTTCAAGCGCTTGTGCTACACATCAGGAACTACATCACACAAGAAAACCATGGAGTACGTGCTGTGGAAATGAGAGCCCGCGACGCAAGGCTAAACCCGGCTGCATCATGAATCCAAGACATACCACAGGCGCCCGATGCAGCACAGGGAGCGTGCTTCCTAAATGTTGGCTTGCTGGCTCAGGCTGCACACGAAGCACACGGTGGAATGTTGGAACCGACACGGGTTTCATCACCTCTATTCTTGACGCAATTCTCATGTTGTTTCTCAGTGGGCTCAGCTGCAGGCATGCAGTCTGTGCTTCCTCGGCTACTGCGGCACAAGCCCTCTTTTGGCTGATAGGTTTTGACGGACCCGCTCTGCGAGCAAATCGGGACACGCCTCTAGCCAAAGCTTGAGCACTACACCGTGGCCCTCTGCGTATCCATAAAGCAGCTCTCACCACAAGGAGACCTGGCCTCGGGCTGTAGCGCAGCGAGGGCACCTTTTTGAGACTTCGCAACTGATTCCATAAGTATGCGCCGATTGAATGTTGGCATTCCATGCATGTCATTATTGCAAACTCTTGGGTAAAGGACTCCAACAACGGTGCAGTTGCGAATACACCCCTGTGTGCGTGTGTGTATGTGCACATTTGGGTACGCATGCTGTGTGTATGCATGTGGGCATGTATGCATGCGTGCTTGCAGGTATGTATGCAGGTCAACGTATGTATGTATGTATGTATGTATGTATGTAAAGCACAGAATAACACCAGACAAACTGAAAAAACAGCTATATATCTGCGTATGGCCGTGCATGTGTATGTGTATGTGTATGCGTATGTGTATATCTATATCTATATCTATATCTATATCTATATCTATATCTATATCTATATCTATATCTATATCTATATCTATATATGTGCAAATGGAAGTGTGTACATGTACATATGTATGTACAATATATATATATATATAATATATATATATGTTTACACGATCTCCACCACTCGCAAAACTCGCTGAACAGCCCTGGATCGCAGAGTTGTTTTCCTCGCGAT